CCCCCCCCCCCCCCCACCCCCCGCCCTTCTTCGACCAACACAGCGCACCCTCCAGTACACGACGCGCCCCTTCACGTCATTGGCAACAAAACAAAGAGTTTTCAACTTGCCACCTGCACCGCTTCGGTATTCCAAAAAAGTGGAGAATTCACTGCCTTGCTTGCAAGATCACCCCGTGAATGTCACTGCAAACCTGTCACTTGTGAAGCACATGTCCCCTCCCGCCCGAGGCCCATCGAAACGGGTTTGGGTTGAGTTGACCATTGGATGCAACGGGTCACCCTGCTGTCCGATCAGCGAGCATGCCAAAAACGAAAAAAAAAAAAAAAAAAAAAAAAACAAAAACAAAAAAAACGAATCGTCCCACCCCATGTGTACTACCACCCCCTGCCCGTCCCGCACCCCCACCCCCCCCCCCCCACCCCCCTCCTTCCCACCATCACCCACCCCCCCCCCCTCCCCCCACCCTCCCCTCTCCCCATCCCCCCTTTCACCTGTCTTAAAACCCGCATCTCATATTTCCTACCAACCAAAGGTATTACCTTTAGTGGGAGAGGGTCTGATTGGGACGACGGGCGAAATTTTGAAAGAGAGTGGGCGAGGGTTGCGACAATTTTGGAAATCCTGGAAGTCCAACTTTGATGAGGCTTCCAGTCTCATATTTCTGCGGGCCCGTAATACCTAGTGGTTTGAGCCCACGAAACGGTTGAGGGCTAGATGGTGGGGGTTGGGTTCTCAAAGACTCCCAAGCAGTTGCAATTCCAGTGTTGAGTTTGCGCCAAAATTTGCTGCTTTGAGTCACTTTCGGGTCCTGATTTCGTGTACCCAGCCATGTTCAGAAACACTGGCGACCCTTGCACAAAGAGCAGCTACGTTACCCAGTACCAAGCGTATCCCCTCAGGAAATATGAGACGCGGGCTTTAATTTCACGGTGTAGCTCACCTTCACCGCCGAATCCATCTCGATATCGGTGCGACTTGTGTAGGCCTGTCAGCAACAGGCTTCTTTCTTCATGCTGCTGCCATCTGGCGGACTAGTCGGAACGAGGCCTCTCGAGACATAGTAATTACCCGTAGAGAAATTAAGAGTAAATTCTCCAGCGTTTTCATTTTCCACGGTTGCAATTTCTTTCGAGTCCGTCCAGCTTACGGAAATGATTTCGCGCGATTCCTTTACCAACGAGTACGTTTTTTTTTTTTTTTTTTTTTTTATCCGTACAGGCCATACTTGTAGTTGGCAATTTGGAGGGGGAGCCACCCCCGCCCCCCACCACCCCCCAGCCCCCTCCCCACACCCCCCTTTCGCCAAAACCCCAACCCACCCCCAAACTCCCCCCCCCCCCCCCCCCCCCCCCCCCCCCCCCCCCCCCCCCCCCCCCCCCCCCCCCCCCCCCCCCCCCCCCCCCCCCCCCCCCCCCCCCCCCCCCCACCCTTGATTCCTTGCTAGCCGAATTTGTAGGGCCGATTCCTTTCGGTAACGGGCTTTTTTGCGGGGATTCCATCTGTGAACGGGTGATCCAGAGGCGATTCCGTCCCTTCCAGGCGAATACAACCACCTCCTTCCATGTCTGTCGAAAACCCACCAATCAGAGCTGCTCGTTGCGAATGAGTGGCTCCCCAAACAAAATGAGCCTGTGTCTTCATCTGTTACGTAAACTGTATGATGTATCTCTTCATTCGAGTTCAAATTGCATCGGGTTTTTAGTTGTTAGGTTACTGTTACTAGGACTCTGTGCACTGTAGTCACAGTTAGCGCAACAGTCACAGTCACAGATTCTGAACTATATGCTGACTGGAAAATCGGCAACAGTGATTCTGAAATCAATGGAAATCCGGAACTCCCACTTGGCCATCCGAGCTGGGTAGAAAAAATAAGGATGAGCGTGGGCAAATTTGCAGCCCGATATGGTACAGTTTTTACCCAATGATATTGTGCCAAATGCTCCAATAAAAAACGCTATAACTACACGCCATATGCCTTGTATACGACCCCCTTTTACGCCCATGCAATTTATCCTTAAGGGCCTCTCCCTATACGCAAAGTGTACCCGTCTCAACTCAACAGTAATATAGACAGTCAATTCAACTGATCCAAGGGCGTCCAATCGGATTGCTCTAGTGTTTTCAGAGCGACCACACCTAGTGGTTGGCGAGCCAAAAAAAATCCAAATGTGCCAGGCTCGCCAACCAATGTCGACGCAAAAATCCACATGAAGCGTTAGATACGAGCAGCTCGTAGGCGGTCCAGTAAAATTGCGCCAGCCATTCCAACAGAATCCGTCGTGTTGCCCCTGGAAAATCCGTCCGGCCCAATGCCAATACGAGCTCGCCACGGAAGCTGCAGAGGGGTCCCAACATCGTTCCCCCCCCGCCAGCAGTTCCGACACCTCAGGGTTATTTATACGCCCAAAACAGCGACCTCTTCACGACACAAGGAACGAGCCCGCCAAACCCACAAAGCCGTCCTCATGGCACCTGTACACTGTGTTGCGCTAGCCGTTGGGCAGAAGGTTGCAATCTGCCAATACGCCAAGAAGAACCCGGCGTTGCGCCTCGAAGACATGGGCGATGATGCCACACTAGATAACGGTCTGTGGCCGGATCGCAGCACAGTCGGCGAGTTCTGCAAAACCAGAACAGAAGTGGCGGGGCCATCGGGCCCGAACCGGCCAAGTTCAAAAGGGTGCGTAACCCACATTGGCCTCTACTTGAAGCTCGACTCAAGAGCTGGCTGAAAAGCACGAATGGTGCTGGCTTGCCAGTTTCGACGGCTCTAACCAGCAGCGCGCGATACTGCTAGCCCCCGAGTGTAACCTGCCTAGCGAGTTAAAGCTTCTGTTGGATGGGTTCAGAATGAACGCTACAATGCCCTTCAGAGCTCCGAACTGGACAAAACCCCTCCTCCTGGTGACTTAACAGTGACTACAGTGCACAGAGCCCTAGTAATAGTAACCTAACAACTAAAAACCCAATTGCATCACAGCAAAGGTTTTACTGTACAGTACAGCAATGACTCCCTTTTGAAATTTAGCTCACATAATTTCAAGCTGTAAAAGAGGAGGAAAGAGGAGCACAGTAATGGGATAACCCTGTCAATCCTCTCTCTTTGTCTAGGGAGGGTACTGGGGAGGCTTTCCCCGGGGAAGGTAGATACAGTGGCAGGAAAAATTGTCCACATGTGTAGCATATTTTTACATTTTGACGAGCTGTACGCTATAAACATTAAGCCTTAATTCATGAGGGCCATACACGTAGGGAGGAGCAGTTAGAGCACTCACTCAAATCTCCTAAAACCAGAGTAGTATATTTCATGGTCCTTCAACATGACAACATTTAATAACAGCACATCCGGACAATTTGTACCGAGGACAGGCAGCAAACTAGTTACTAGCAAAACTAGTACCTAGTCAACCGACACTTGGCCTTGATCACCACCTACACCCTCTTAGGCATGTTATCTACGAGGTTAGTGCAAACCTTTACAGGGATCTTCTCGCACTCTCCTGGACCCACGCTTTTGCATAAGGGGGTGAGCACTAGGAAAATCAAGAAGTATTTGAACGTATGCAAGTGTACTATGCACGATTTCATGTTGAATGTTATCTCTAAGACTAGCCATGCTGAGGTGTGGCCAAAGATGCCATAAATTGATTGGTCTCGTCTTATCATGGATAGTCTTCATCGTACCGTTGTAGGTAAAAATTACGAGCAGAGTGGCCGAACCCAAGGACAATCTCCAAGATTATCAAAGACGAAGTGCGTTGGAAGGCACTCGGGCCTGAGAGCACTAAGCACAAAAGGCTCAGAAACGCCTTCTGGCCTGTGCAAGAGGACCGTTTCGGAACCTGGCTACGGGGCGTGAACGGCGCTGGCTTGCTAGTCACCATCGCGCTGATCCAGCAGCGCGCTCTCGTCCTTGCACCCCGACTACAACGTGCACAAGGATTTCAAAGTCAGTGCTGGATGGGTGCAGAAGGCCCTTAGGTGCATGGGGTTTAAGTGGCGCAAAATGGCTGGCGAGGCGAGATCCGCAGACGCTCAAGCGGCGCTCTTCGCTGAATTGCACTTCCTCAGGTTCTGTGACGCGCTCAACCTCTAGTTCGAGCAACTGTTCAACTTCGACGAAACGTGCGTGTACTGGCCGATGCTCCCAGACCACAAGTTCAACGGAGGATGCGATGCCAGGCATGAAAACCACCAAGGAGAGACTCACCGTTGCAAAACTCATGAATGCCGACGGGTCGAAGTGTTCAAACCCTCATAATCCATCGCTACAAGCGCCCCCGCTGTTCCGCACGCGAGAATTTCAACCTTGCAGGGTACTGCGCGTGGCAGGCAAATGCGAAAGGCTGGATGATCGCCGATGTGAGTCGCGCGTATAAGCCCTTTGTGTTCCGCCAACTTCCGGATATGCAAAACAAACACTTAAAGTGCATCTCCTGCCGCCCAGCTAGAAGCCGTTGTTGACGCTCCTCGCCAAAACCCTTGTCCGAGGACGTGCACTTGCTCGACGAGGATTTTCATCAGGTGCAGGGCGCCATGGATACGCTGCCATTCGGCTTGCCTGGCGAAGTCGAGGTCGCGGTCCAATTTGTCTATGCATAACACGAAGCATCGACCGACGAGGAGGGAGCCGACGACCCGCTAGAATTGGAGCCCACGGGGCCGCCTGTCCGATTCGCGTGGTGGTCTAATGCGCCCCTCCCACCCCCACCAACCCCGATGCGTCCATGGGTGACATGCGGGGCATGTCATGCATGGCGACGGAAATGCTCATCGGTTACGCGCGTAGCCTCGCGCTCGCTCCGCGAGACCTTCGCGTTCTCTTCGACATCCGCGATCCCCTCGTGTGCGAGCGTCTGGAGCGCGCATCTCCCTGCCTCGGCGTCAGTGCTACCCCGGCTATTTGAACGATAGGTATCGCGCTCAGGTGCTGTGCGCCACCGTGGTGATGACCGGGTACCCCGACGTCGATGAATAGATGACCTTTGGGGGTACTCGCATACCATGGCAACCCTCTCTTCATGTTTGAGTGGGACCTGTCTACTTCTCGGTGTTGAACATATAGTACGGACAACAGTGTGTGCTGATGGTGGTTTGCGTACTGATGTTTGGTTGGGTTTAATCAATTAATATTACCGTGTATGGTCTGTTTTTTGTCGAACGAGACTGTAATCGAGAAAAAAACATTGAGGTGTTTCAATTGTGTTGTTGTTGATGTGATGACCAAAATTATGTGCACCGATGAAACCAGTCTTTGAATCTCCCTGCGAAATCTGGGCGACGTTCCTATGTGCACATGGTCGACGCATCAGACAGGCTTCTCGCCCCTCTACATTACAGAAGCGACAACGCTCCTACAACCTCGGAAGTGTTTTAAACATTTATGCTCGGGTCGCACCGGGGTATTTGCTACGCGCAGTTTCCTACATTCGCAGAGCTTGCACAAGTAGAATATGACCCGTTTATGCTTCAGTGGGGGGGGGGCAGATTGGGCTGTGAAAGCAAAGCGGAAGTCGTGTGAAATTATTGGGTACAGAGTAGCGAAAAATGATTGGAGAGCACACATGCTCAGTTCTTACACTACCAGCCACTGTAGCGTAAGCGCCCGGATATAGGACTGGTTCGGTTGAGAACCCATTGGGTCCTTTTGGCGGGTGGGTCTTTAGTTGTGGTCGTCGTCTAAGTAGACCCTACCATTTCAAATGTACATGGGTTAAGACCACTCCGTTTTTTTTTTTTTTTTTTTTTTTTTTTTTTTTCGTGCCATTCCGCAGCAATGTGGAAAAATATTGAGTACACCTTGAGCCTGACAGAGGAACACAACTTTTCAGGGTGCCGGTAGACAAAAACATGCAGGGGTTTCGCACGGCATCGTCACGGGCATGTGGGCCTTTCGCACGGGCACAAAGGTTACCGTTTTGATGTTTTGCGGGGTAGGTTTGAATGGCATATTTTGGCGAGCCATTGTTCACTTAGTTACCCTGTGTTAAATTTCGGTGCTTTCAAGCAAGAGTGAGTTTCTCTGGTGTAGCACCAGAGTGGTGGTTGGCGGGTGAGATGTTGAGTGAGTTTCTCTGGTTTGGTTTGCTCCCTTTCATATTCAGTGAAATGTGGCGATGGTTTGGAGTCGCATTTCAGTTCCAAGTGTTAGGGGCGTGTTTTAAAGATTTATGACATTACGAATTGAAGGTTCGTGTCACAAAAATAACTGTTGCGTGGATTGTGGGAATTTGTTTTCGAGTTTGTTTCTTGGTTGGTTGTCGGATGTTGAGAACGACCCCTGGCATCAGGACATCGCGACTCCATTTTCGCTGCCAAGTCAGCGTTCGGTTTCATGCGGCGATGCTCAAGTCACAAACAAACCCAGCAAGGCGTGCGCACCTGTGCGAGCTCAAGGAAAGGCTCGCTGAGCTTCGCCGGAGCGCTATTCTGAGCGGGGCTGGAAGTTTGTGGCGAAAACGGTTGCGGCGCACATCTTTCGTCTTGTGCCGCATGTTCGTCACCGCTGTCATGATGACGCTGCACTGTTGGCTCTGTTCACGGCCCACGTTGAGTGGGCCGTTGCCCGTGTGCCAAAGCTAATGGGCGATGGTTTCTGATTGGGCCACGTATTGAGCTGGGCTTTAGGTGTGCACCCTGTGTAGCGAGCAAAAACAACACACAAAAGCGGGAGCACGGAGAAGTCGAGCGAAAAACTTTCGGGAGGATAGAGAAAAGGAGATGTAAGGGGGTGTGTAAAATTGGGACGGAGCTCCATTTTTATGTCCGTTTGTAACTGTAGGCCAATCGGATGCACGGACCTAGTGTGTAAAAATGTGTGGATTCGTGCCAAAAATAATTCCCACCTTAGCTTCCAGCACGTTGGAAAAAAAAATACCGCTCGTTGTACCCGCACCAGAACAACTCAGCACCAGAATTGCAAACGCATTTCGCCAATTCCAATGACGGTGCCAACTGGGCAACTCGGCCAGCATGAAATGCATGTGCCTCGCAAGTCGCCAGAGCACCAAGGTTGTTTCTCGCGCAGGCAAAAATTGCGAGACATTGCCCTCGCTAGTTACAATCCCGAAATACGAGATTTTGAAATTTCAGGTGCATTGGTTTCGTCCTGGTGGTGTAGTCTCCAAACTTGTGTTGCTTCGGGAAAAAACCGACCGGGCAGAAAAAAGAAGGAGTCTGGGAGCGAAGCGGAGCTTCTGTTCCAAATTTACACACCCCCTATGAGTTATAACTCAGAGTATAGCGCATAATACTATAGGCGAACGTGATTACAGAGTTGTCCAGAATAATGAGGCCTAGGCAATATGTAGGTTTGTTGACCAGGGCCGAATGTCGAGGGTTGGACCAGTCAAGGGCTCGATAGTCCCAGGGGTGACGGGATCAAAATGGGTTCGGGGCGACTCGGGATGAGGTTGGGGCCGAAAAGGTCGACGGGGGCTGGTTTGGCGCGTGACTTGAGGGCCAAGCCTGCGGAACCGAGAGGTTTGCGTGTACTCGCTGTGGCAAGCCCTAGTAAGGAATGGTAATTCCTTACACTAAGGAAATGTTAGAAGGGGAAACCAGAAAGAAATGGGTAAGGGTTGGGGGCGAGGGCTCGATCGCTCTGAATGCCGTCCAATCAGGACGAAGTCAAGTGCGTTCTTACAGTCGTGAACTTGTTATGCTGCCGTGTAAGGGTTGAAGACAAAATCTTGACCGTCGATAAACTATCACTTTCGATTTGGTTTCTCTAGGATTTTCTCGCGATATGAAATGGCCATTTCGATTGGGAAGCACAAAGGTCAAACCAATCAGATTCGCATTTTACATTTTATACTGAAAAGGCTTAGAATGGGCCTGAATACTCGACAATGAGTCAGGAATGTAAACGAGGAACAAAACTATATGCAGAAATTTGTATTCCACGTGCGTACGAGATATAATCTGGGTACATATTTTTTAGGTATCCATATAAGACTCACCCCCAAAATCCACTAGTATATGAGATTACACCCTAGGCTCAAAAATGCGGATGCTTACGGTAATAGAATTATGTACAACACCCAACCATATATTCCCTTGTATGCCTTCATTGTAGTCATTCGATTACTCTGATATGGTATCAGCTAGGTTAGGTCCGCCCATCCGTGCTTCCGCCCTAGCCGCCCTAGCTCGCCCTAGCCGCCCTAGCCCGCCCTAGCCACCCTTGCCCGCCCTAGCCGTTGTAGATCGTTGGCCCCGCGCTCGCTGGCCCGAGTGGTACAGAGCGTCCCACTGGCCCGCGAGGAATTGTCGGAGGCATTTTTCTGCCGCGGGCCAATCAGGACGTCTTGGTAATGGTAGCAAAGGGTGAGACGCGGGAGAAAAAGTAACAAGATCCAACCCTCCGTGGAGGTTGGATTTTTTACGAAGAAAAGGACGGGTGTCAGCAGGGCGAGCGCGAAAATTTGACGAATTTGGGGAGGTAACCGGCGGGAGAGTGGGGGTTGGGGGGTGTCGCATAATATCGCGATGTCCCAGCTGGCGATCCCGACGAATCGAGAGGCGTCGCTCGCCAGCTCTTCTGGGGACAGCTGCGAGAATGACTGGGGATGGGTGTCCAGCGGTACACAGGCATTACGCCTGCTGCAGGACCTGCGTCCCCCAGATCTGGGAGTTGGGACAGCAGTTCCGTTTCTGGAGAGCCTGTGAGTCTCCTCGTCTCGCTCCTCACTAGACGCGTCTGTTGTAGATTCCCTCTGCTCCCCAGGTACATAAGTTCTGTCAGCCCGCTCCTCCTCACTAGTAGTTCCTTGCAATCCTATGGCTGCGAGCTGGAAACCGTTCAGCGGACCCCCGTCAGAGGACAGGTCGCTTTGCCTGGCTCGCCCGCGTCCGTGACCCCGTGCTGCTTGCCCAGAGTTTCTCCTGCCCCCTCCTCCCCGAACTCCTCTCGGGGCTGCCCTGTCCGCCGTCTGTCGTTCTTGTCGGGTCGTGGCTGAGCGCGGCGCATCTCTTCCTGATGGACCAGCCACTGGGGCTCGAGCTGGGCCGGCCCCCGCGTGAGCGCTCCGCCGACATGGAGAGCACTGGGGAGAGTGTGCCCCCCCAAGGCCCCAGCCTGGTTGAACCGCGATTGGGAGTGCGGGCTCTCCGTTCCCTCGCCTGCCCGTCAGCAGACCCCCGAGCGGATGCGCGGGCGGTCGGGGAGTCGGCCGTCCACCCCGCGGCGTCGCGAGGAGAAGACTCCCGAGCGCGCCCTGGACCCTGACCGCGGACCAGTGGTGCACGGCGTCCAGAGCGCGGCGGGTCAGCAGCCCCAGCCACAGCCCCCTCCCTGCCGGGGGACACCTCAGCGCCGCCCGCAGGTGCAGCCCCAGCCACAGCCCCCTCCCCGCCGTGGGACACCTCAGCGCCGCCCGCAGGCGCAGCCGGCGCAGCAGCACCGGACACCGCAGGCGCAGCGCGGGCGTTCTGGCCAGCACCAAGGCTGGAGGGCCGGCGGGGGGAGTAACCGCGGATCGGCTGCAGAGAGGCGTTTAGGGCGGGCTGCCACGACACTCGAGAGCCTGTTCTGCTCTGTCGCCCCACCGCAGCAGCCAATGGAGTATCCCCCCCAGCCTCCGGCGTCGCAGCAGTATCACCAGGTGCATCAGCGACAAACGCATCTCCCACCGCAGCAGATGTCAGCGCTGGCGGTCCCGCCGCGCAATGCGGCGCTTCCGCTACTCCCACCGTAACAACAGCCTCCACCGCCTCTTCCGTCCACTCATCCTCCGCCAGACTTCCCCCCTGCCGCTCCTTTCCTTCCGCACCAACCACGAGTGGTGCCGCACCAGATGAACGTGCAGCCCTCGGAGACTCTGCCACGCTGGCAGCTGCCGCCCCTGGAGGCATCCGTGGTGGGTTGGTCCGGCCGTCAGCCGCCAATGGTGGTGCCAGCGTCCTTCGGCGATATGGCGACGGCGCCATTTGTCCCCCCACGTCGCGCGCTGGAGTCGTCAACTGGAGTTGAGGGGGGGCAGAAGCAGCGGAGATGGGGGGGGCTGAGTCCACGGGTGAGGACTCGCCCCCTGGGGACCAGGGGCGGCGTCGATCGGCTGGGCTGCGGATGCCGCAGAGAGCACAGCTGGAGGGCCTGCGTGGGAGGGAGCGCCTGGCGGAGACTGCGATCCTAGTCGCCACGCTTCGTCGGCTCTGGCACGTGCAGCGGGCGATGGGGTATGCTGTGGAGATGCTGACAGACTCGCACTCCGTTTTACGGAGCTCAGCGAGCCCGTGCAAGATGCCTCATGATCCTCTCCACCGCTGCGCGATGGCTGCAGCTGATCTGGCTGTCGTGTCAACGCGAGTGCAGCCTGCGCCCGCCCCGGGAACCGTGTTGGACCCGCGCCTGCTCGCCGTGATGCGGGGAGTATCGGCGAGCGTAGACTTGGCTGCAGCTGTAGACATCGTTGGCGGCGCCGTGTCAGCGCTGATGCTCCTGGTGGACTACGTGAAGGCCCTGCTAGAGGAAGCTGGAGCGGACCAAGTCGCGTGACAGGCTCCCGTCGTGTATAGGTCCTTGTTGGTGAAGTGCGCCCCAGCGTGAGCGCTCTGGTAAGCTCGGTGAGGCTCTCCAGGCTGGCCTGCTGAGTGTAGCGTGGGCGGGATGTAGGCGCCGTATTTGTGTCCTTGCTGTTGTCCTAGTGGATATTATATCCTTGTGCGCTTGCCGTCCCCTCACGCGCGGCCGGAGGCCGCTGACGCGAGCCGCCACCAAGGGTGGGAGAAAATGAAGAGCAGAAAATTAAACAAGGAGAATGAGCTAGGGAGAGGGCTTAAATAGCTAGGGAGGGACTCATGCTCTCTCTCTCTCTCTCGCTCTCTCTCTCCTCTCTCTCTAGCCGCCACCAAGGGTGGGAGAAAATGAAGAGCAGAAAACTAAACAAGGAGAATGAGCTAGGGAGAGGGTTTAAATAGCTAGGGAGGGACTCATGCTCTCTCTCTCTCTCTCTCTCTCTCTCTCTCGCTCTCTCTCTCTCTCTCTCTCTCTCTCTCTCTCGCTCTCTCTCTCTCTCTCTCTCTCTCTCTCTCTCTCTCTCTCTCTCTCTCTCTCTCGCTCTCTCTCTCTCTCTCTCTCTCTCTCTCTCTCTCTCTCTCTCTCTCTCTCTCTCTCTCTCTCTCTGCCCTCTCCACTCACCTCATTTTATTTCTCTCTACCTCTCCCTGCCCTCTCCTTCCCCTTCCCGACCTCTCTCCTTCCCCTTCCCGCCCTCTCTCCTTCCCCTTCCCACCCTCTATCCTTCCCCTTCCCACCCTCTCTCCTTCCCCTTCCCGCCCTCTCTCCTTCCCCTTCCCACCCTCTCTCTCCTTCCCCTTCCCGTCCTCTCTCCTTCACCTTCGCCACCTCTCTTTCCTTCCCCTATCCGTCCTCTATCCTTCCCATTCCCGTGGCTGCAACTGCGGCTGCGGCGGCTGCGCTGGCGGCTGCGCGCGCGCGAGCGGGCGGGCAGCAGGCGGGCAGCCGGCGAGCAGCGGGCGGCGGGCAGCAGGCGGCGAGTAGTGTGCGGCGCGCAGCGGGCAGCTAGCAGTGGGTGGCGCGCAGCGGGCGGCAAGCAGCGGGCGGCAAGCAGCGGGCGGCGCGTAGCGGGCGGCAAGCAGCGGACAGTGGGCAGCGCGATCAGCGGGCGGCAGCGGGCAGCACGAGCAGGGGACAGCGGCCAGCGGCAGGGAGCAGTGCGAGCGCGAGCAGTGCGAGCAGCGGGCAGCATGGACAGCGACCCGTGCAAGCAGCAGGAGGGCTGGCTGCGATGGGAAGGGTGGGAGGACGTTACGGCGTGAAATCACATGCTACGGGCGATTTTTTTCGCCAGACGACGCGGCTCCAAGACGACACATCTTAATCGTGGTTTTATAACAGAACAATGTCATTCCATAGCCCCCGGGTGTTGTCCAAAAAGTGCCACTAATTACGCCCCCACTAAATTTTGCATCAAAATTTAGTGCCACCCTAGGGTGTTTTATCCGGGGGAATACGGTAAGCCATGAACCTAATGCAAAAGATTACTAACATAGTATCGTCACGACAGTTTTACACCGCTTTGAAGCAACACCTAGCATGAGCAATCAAACAGTACAAGATCCATGTCATCGCAGCCATGCGCAGCAAACAAGTGCATCAGATCTGAATCTCCAAACCCTATGATGACTTGGCACTCCCTCATGTTGCCGATGCCGCCCGGGACCTTGGTGACGTCATCTGGTACCAAGTACAGGTCATCTAGGCACACACCAGCAGCAGAGGGAGCTTCCAGGTGCTGTCCGATGGCTGCTGTGTAGGTATCCGGCCATGGATCCATGAAGCAGCCATTGATGCTGCTTATGTTACTTACGATGCTCATGCTGCTGCCACTGCTCACCATGCTGTTGTGCCCGTCTATAGGGTCCGTAGGGTGGCTCTGGTCAGTCCAATTAACCCCATTAATCTTGTTAATACGGTTTACCCGGTTAATAGGGCCAATCGTGCGGCTGTTGATAATGACACCATTGTCAGTGCAGAGTCGATTGCACAGTTGAGGGAGACTGCTGCTGGTGCTGCTACAGTAAGTCGAGAGCCTGCTGCTCCTACCATCAGACTGCATCTTGCTGGTGTTGGTGCCGCAAGCACTGCTACTGTCAAACCTGCTTATAGGGGGTACAGAAAACAGGCTGCACTGTTCCGTGTCAAACTCCACTGTATAGCCTCGGCAGCTGATGGTACGGCCGTTGCTGCTTCCCCCACCACCCACCAAGCAGCCAGTTTGCTGCTGCAGTTGCTGTTGTGGCGGCTGGTAGCACTGCTGCAAGTACGCTTTGAACGAAGGCAGTTGGTACTCCTGCACCCCTTGACTCGGTTTCTCCTGAGATTGAGTAGATGCTGACCTCTGCCCATACTCCATCTCTTGTTGGCCGGCCCCTTGTTGGCCGGCCCCATATTGGCCAGCCTCGGCACAACATGCTGACACGGCAACGCAATTTGTTGCAGTGGCTACACATGCCGATGTGGCAGCACCATTGCAAGCTGACGTGGCGATGCCATCACGTGCTGACATGGCAACACCATCAGCTGGCCATAGCAACGTGTTGCTTCGCTGCAAAGTTGGGACCACAGGAGGTTGAACGTCACTCCCCTGAGAGGTAGGAGCAGGGTTAGCAGCGTGAGCGGTTACATCAGGAGAATGAGTTGTAACGCCAGCAGCGCGAGCTGCTACATCAGGAGAAAGAGTTGTAACGCCAGCAGCGCGAGCGGCTACATCAGGAGAATGAGTTGTAATGTCAGCAGAGTGAGCAGTTAAGTCAGGGGAAGGAGTCGTAAGGTCAGCTGTATGAGCGGTTACATCAGGAGAATGAGTTGTAACGTCAGTAGCATGAGCGGTCACGTCAGGTGAATGAGTTGTAACGTCAGTAGCATGAGCGGTTATGTCAGGTGAGTGAGTTGTAAGGTCTGCAGCGTGAGCGGTGACATTGGGAGCAAATCCAGTCATGTGCATTGGTAGTTGCTCGCTGCAAAGAAGAGATGCAGGCACCTGCCGCTGCAAGTGCTGATGATGCTGGTGCTGGTATTGTTGCTGGGGCTGCTCCTGATGCTGCTGATGATGCTGCTGATGCTGCTGCTGCTGATGCTGCTGATGCTGCTGCTGCTGATGCTGCTGATGCTGATGCTGCTGATGCTGCCGATGCTGATGCTGCTGATGCTGCTGATGCTGCTGCTGCTGATGCTGCTGATGCTGCTGATGCTGCTGCTGCTGATGCTGCTGATGCTGCTTCTGCTGATGCTGCTGATGCTGCTGACACTGCTGATACTGCTGATCCTGATGCTGCTGCTGCTGCTGCTGCTGCTGCTGCTGCTGCTGCTGCTGCTGCTGCTGCTGCTGCTGCTGATGCTGCTGTTGCTGCTGCTGCTGCTGCTGCTGCTGCTGCTGCTGCTGCTGCTGCTGCTGTTGGTACTGCTGCTGCTGCTGTTGCAGTGGATGTGGTTCCAGCACGCCCAGCCTTGGGCTGTCAGCACAGGCGTTTCCTTTTGCTGTTGCTGGTGCTGCCACTGCCGATGCTGCTGCCGCCACTGGCAACTGGCTTATGACAACGCACCTGCTGTTGATGTTGCTGTTGCTGTTGGTGATGTCAGAAGAATGTGCGAAGGACGGAGCAAGAGGAGGGAGAGGAGGGGGGTGAGTAGTGGAGAGAGGAGGGAGAGGAGAAAGGCGATGGAGCAGGGGGGAGGAGGCTTGGCTGCTGTACGGGGGGCTTGTCGCGGCAGGAGCATAGGTGGCGTGGTCAGCTGCTGCGGCAGGAGCAGAAGCCAGCGCGGCAGGAGCAGAATCCAGCGAAGCAGGAGAATCACAGGAGGGTGCGGCGGGATACCCGTGCGTTGGCTCCACGGGGATGGACCCCAACGGAGAGTGGGAAGTCTGGAAGCACGCCGCTTGGGGTGCGTCAACAGCCAGAGGGGCGGAAGCGGGGGCAGGCAAAGGAGCAAAGGAAAGGGGAAGAGGCGGCAGGAAGGCAGGAGAAGTTGGGGTGGAAAGGCTGTTCGTTGCGGGAGCGCAGGTTGCAGCGGGAGCACAGGTTGTAGCGGGAGTGCAGGTTGTAGCAGAGATGGAGGCTGTAGCGGCAGAGGGGCAAGTTAATGTGGGAAGGAGGCTGATGGCAGAAGGACCAGAGAGAAGAGCTTTAGAAGCTTCCAACACGGGCGGTGGGTGGTTGTGCGAGCCAAAATATGCCACTCGCACCACCACACGCATCTCTGTCCTGTCCGACGCCGTGTCGACTTCTTCTGCACGTCCTGCTACAGCCACTCCGGTTGTAGCTGCAGCTTCGGAAGCAGCTGCAGCTGTAGCTCTGGCTCTGGTTGTAGCTGCATCTGTTGCGGCAGTTGTGGTTTTCCCCACGGCTGCATTTTTTCCAACGCTGCCTGTCAGCTTGAGCCGGCGCGGGTGACGGGCCTCGCCAGCCACTCGATCCTCAATCTTTCTTGCCGGGCAACCCATGACGTGCTTAGACGCACAGACGAAGTAGAGCCTGCGGGGAGGAGGGGAGAAAGAGGGCGCACGCGTACACAGAGGTTGGGGAGACCCTTCAGAAGCCTGGCACGCTGGATGGGAAGGGAGCAAGCGAGGCGCATCAGTTTTCTTCAGCCGACCCAAGCCGACCCAAACTGACCCAAACCGACCTAGCTGAGCCGATCAGACCAGAGCCGACCAGACAAGTGTCGACCGGAACAGAGCTGACCTGACCAGAGCCGACCAGACCAGAGCCGACCAAAGGTGATGGCAGGAGAGACGTTGCGATAACGGCATGGCCGAGGATCTTCTCACCTCTTCACAGGCTGACCCGCTATTCGTTTGTGCGACGTCTTCTTCCATTTGTACCCCTTGTTTCGGCCATTGCGCTGCTCGCAGTACGATGTTTGTTGCTGCTGCGGCTGCTCGTGCTGCTGCTGCTGCTGCTGCTGCGGCTGCGGCTGCTGCTGCTGCTGGTGCTGCGGCTGCTGGTGCTGGTGCTGCGGCTGCGGCTGCTGGTGCCGGTGCTGCGGCTGCGGCTGCTGGTGCTGGTGCTGCGGCTGCGGCAGCTGGAACAGCTGCCGCTGCGGCTCCAACTGCTTTGTGCAGCAGAGCGGCAGGCTGGTCCAAGTCAGAGGCTGGTAGTGATGCTCGCACTGCGACCCACTGTCACATTGCTGCTCCTGCTGTTGATCTTCCTGCAATGCGGCACATTTCTCCTGCTGCCGCTGCTGCTGCTGCTCTTGCTGCAATGCGGCGGCACATTGCTCCTGCTGCTCCTGCTGGTGCTGCTGCTGCTGCTGCTGCTTCTGCTGATGCGACTGCTGCTGCGACTGCTGCAATGCGGCCGCACATTGCTCATCCCAACACCTCCCATCGAAGTTTGACGTCTCAGGCTCAAATTTTACCATCCAACCTGCAGCAGCAGCGACAGCAGTAGGCACCGGCGGTGGCGGTGGCGCCGCCATCGGCGGCAGTGGCGGCGCAAGACGCGGTGGCGTGCGGAGCATCATCTCCTCGCGCGGCGATTCACCTCATCAAGGGGAAAGCTCAGAGCTCCATTCGGGCAGGAAATCCGCGTCAGAGCCGAAGGCCTCGTAGCAGTACCGCCGCGACGCCGCGGCAGGCAGCGGCACGGGCTGTTCGTCGGCGCGCAGTGACCGCGGCAAGACCACGTGTAACACCTCGCTACCCACTGGGTCAAAACAAGGTTACCCAGAGGCGCAGCGGAATGCGTTTCTACACTCTAGGGTGATTCCGTCCGCAGACGTTAACTCGTCCCCCCCTGGTGCCAACGTCCTCGTTGGGTTCAGGGAGTCGGCCCCCACAAGGACCTCGAGATTCGCTGGTAGACCAAGTCAGCGACTTCGCTGGTGATGCACAGCGGTTACCAGGATCGTTCGCTGGGTTCGCGACTGGATACAACCGCAGCTGTATTTTCGCACATTCGAGTTCTCGCCACGACCTCAGCCGTGCGCGGAAAATGTGTCCAGCCGGGGTTCGAACCCTAAGCTCTGGTACCAGTGTAATACCTCGCTACCCACTGGGTCAAAACGAGGTTACCCAGAGGCGCAGCGGAATGCGTTTCTACACTCTAGGGTGACTCCGTCCGCAGACGTTACACCACGCGACCAGCGTGCTTGTAGTCCGCGTGTCAGGCTGACTCGTCGACGCCCGAGCTGGCACCGCGCACAAATGCCGCACACCGCCGTCAAAGCCGTCAATGCAGTCAATGCCGTCAATGCCGGTGGCCCGGCCACGGGCCGTCACGGTGAATGCGATAGTTTGAACGAGGTAATGCGGTACTACAATGCGATGCGGTAATGCACTGCACTGCCACAGCAAGATCGGAATATATAGTGGATCCGAATTCGAAACAGGGACGTTCTAGGGTACAATTCCCGACGGTGGCTGAACTAGGTCAAGATCAAGAGTGAACGGCAGTGCGATCGTCGCCGCGAAGGCCTTTCATTCGCAGCCGCCGCAATCCCAAATTTTCAGGAACAGTCGCGATAGAACTCGGTGCAGCGTTGCGTGCTCCAATCCCAGCCGCGAGACGTGAGCTTCTCGGTTAGTGTATACATGGTGCGCACCGGAGGCCCAGCCCAATACGTGGCCCAATCAGAAAGCATCGCCCATTAGCGTTGTCACACGGGCAACGGCCCACTCAACGTGGGCCGTGAACAGAGCCAACAGTGCATTGTTATCATAACAGCGGTGACAAACATGCGGCACAAGACAAAAGATGTGCGCCTCAACCATTTTCGCCACAAAATTCCAGCCGCGCTCGGAATAGTGCTCCGACGAAGCGCAGCGAGCCTTTCGTTGAGCTCGCAAAAGTACACACGCCTCGCTGGGTTTGTTTGTGGCTTGAGCGTCGCCGCATGAAAACGAACGCTGACTTGGCAACGAAATGGAGTCGCGATGTCCTGATGCCAGGGTTCGTTCTCAACATCCGACAGCCAACCCAGGAACAGACTCGAAATCAAATTCCCACAATCCACTCAGCAGTTATTGTTGCGACACGAATGTTCAATTCGTAATGTAAGAAATGTTTAGAACACGCCCGTAACATTTGGAACTGAAATGCGACTCCAAACCCTCGCCCCATTTTACTGAGTATAAAAGGGAGCAAACCAAACCAGAAAAACTCACTCAACATCTCACCCGCCAACCACCACTCTGGTGCTACACCAGAGAAACTCACTCTCGCCTGAAAGCGTAGAAACTTAACACAGGGTAACTAAGTGAACAGTGGCTCGCCAAAATATGCCACTCAAACCTACCCCGCAAAACATCAAAATGGTAACCTTCATGCCCGTGTGAAAGGCCTACATGCCCGTGACGATGCCGTGCGAAACCCGTGCGCGTTTTTGTCTACCGGCACCCTGAAAAGTTGTGTTCCTCTGTCAGGCTCAAGGTGTACACACCGCCAGGCTGTCTCCCACTTCCCGCTGTCCCCAGCCCAGATCTGAGGCAAAGCGAGCCCCACTTTGCCCTCTATCCCGACCGGACCTGAAGGGAGAGAGGGACCACCCCCAACCCACCCCTCTCCCTCCCTCCCCCCCCCCCCCCCCCACCCCCCGCCCTTTCTTCCGACCAACACAGCGCACCCTCCAGTACACGACGCGCCCCTCACGTCATTGGCAACAAAACAAAGAGTTTTCAACTTGCCCACATGCACCGCTTGGTATTCCAAAAAAGTGGAGAATTCACTGCCTTGCTTGCAAGATCACCCCGTGAATGTCACTGCAAACCTGTCACTTGTGAAGCACATGTCCCCTCCCGCCCGAGCCCATCGAAACGGGTTTGGGGTTGAGTTGACCATTGGATGCAACGGGTCACCCTGCTGTCCGATCAGCGAGCATGCCAAAACGAAAAAAAAAAAAAAAAAAAAAAAAACAAAAACAAAAAAACGAATCGTCCCACCCCATGTGTACTACCACCCCCTGCCCGTCCCGCACCCCCACCCCCCCCCCCCCCCCCACCCCCCCTCCTTCCCACCATCACCCACCCCCCCCCCCTCCCCCCACCCCTCCCCCTCTCCCCCATCCCCCCTTTCACCTGTCTTAAAACCCGCATCTCATATTTCCTACCAACCAAAGGTATTACCTTTAGTGGGAGAGGGTCTGATTGGGGGACGACGGGCGAAATTTTGAAAGAGAGTGGGCGAGGGTTGCGACAATTTTGGAAATCCTGGAAGGTCCAACTTTGATGAGGCTTCCAGTCTCATATTTCTGCGGGCCCGTAATACCTAGTGGTTTGAGCCCACGAAACGTTGAGGGCTAGATGGTGGGGGTTGGGTTCTCAAAGACTCCCAAGCAGTTGCAATTCCAGTGTTGAGTTTGCGCCAAAATTTGCTGCTTTGAGTCACTTTCGGGTCCTGATTTCGTGTACCCAGCCCATGTTCAGAAACACTGGCGAGCCCTTGCACAAAGAGCAGCTACGTTACCCAGTACCAAGCGTATCCCCTCAGGAAATATGAGACGCGGGCTTTAATTTCACGGTGTAGCTCACCTTCACCGCCGAATCCATCTCGATATCGGTGCGACTTGTGTAGGCCTGTCAGCAACAGGCTTCTTTCTTCATGCTGCTGCCATCTGGCGGACTAGTCGGGAACGAGGCCTCTCGAGACATAGTAATTACCCGTAGAGAAATTAAGAGTAAATTCTCCAGCGTTTTCATTTTCCACGGTGCAATTTCTTTCCGAGTCCGTCCAGCTTACGGAAATGATTTCGCGCGATTCCTTTACCAACGAGTACGTTTTTTTTTTTTTTTTTTTTTTTTTTTTTCCGTACAGGCCATACTTGTAGTTGGGCAATTTGGAGGGGGGAGCCACCCCCGCCCCCCACCACCCCCCCAGCCCCCTCCCCACAACCCCCCTTTCGCCAAAACCCCAACCCACCCCCCAAACTCCCCCCCCCCCCCCCCCCCCCCCCCCCCCCCCCCCCCCCCCCCCCCCCCCCCCCCCCCCCCCCCCCCCCCCCCCCCCCCCCCCCCCCCCCCCCCCCCCCCCCCCCCCCCCCCCCCCCCCCCCCCCCCCCCCCCCCCCCCCCCCCCCCCCCCACCCTTGATTCCTTGCTAGCCGAATTTGTAGGGCCGATTCCTTTCGGTAACGGGCTTTTTTGCGGGGATTCCATCTGTGAACGGGTGATCCAGAGGCGATTCCGTCCCCTTCCAGGCGAATACAACCACCTCCTTCCATGTCTGTCGAAAACCCACCAATCAGAGCTGCTCGTTGCGAATGAGTGGCTCCCCAAACAAAATGAGCCTGTGTCTTCATCTGTTACGTAAACTGTATGATGTATCTCTTCATTCGAGTTCAAATTGCATCGGGTTTTTAGTTGTTAGGTTACTGTTACTAGGACTCTGTGCACTGTAGTCACAGTTAGCGCAACAGTCACAGTCACAGATTCTGAACTATATGCTGACTGGAAAATCGGCAACAGTGATTCTGAAATCAATGGAAATCCGGAACTCCCACTTGGCCATCCGAGCTGGGTAGAAAAAATAAGGATGAGCGTGGGCAAATTTGCAGCCCGATATGGTACAGTTTTTACCCAATGATATTGTGCCAAATGCTCCAATAAAAAACGCTATAACTACACGCCATATGCCTTGTATACGACCCCCTTTTACGCCCATGCAATTTATCCTTAAGGGCCTCTCCCTATACGCAAAGTGTACCCGTCTCAACTCAACAGTAATATAGACAGTCAATTCAACTGATCCAAGGGCGTCCAATCGGATTGCTCTAGTGTTTTCAGAGCGACCACACCTAGTGGTTGGCGAGCCAAAAAAAAATCCAAATGTGCCAGGCTCGCCAACCAATGTCGACGCAAAAATCCACATGAAGCGTTAGATACGAGCAGCTCGTAGGCGGTCCAGTAAAATTGCGCCAGCCATTCCAACAGAATCCGTCGGTGTTGCCCCTGGAAAATCCGTCCGCCCAATGCCAATACGAGCTCGCCACGGAAGCTGCAGAGGGGTCCCAACATCGTTCCCCCCGCCAGCAGTTCCGACACCTCAGGGTTATTTATACGCCCCAAACAGCGACCTCTTCACGACACAAGGAACGAGCCCGCCAAACCCACAAAGCCGTCCTCATGGCACCTGTACACTGTGTTGCGCTAGCCGTTGGGCAGAAGGTTGCAATCTGCCAATACGCCAAGAAGAACCCGGCGTTGCGCCTCGAAGACATTGGGCGATGATGCCACACTAGATAACGGTCTGTGGCCGGATCGCAGCACAGTCGGGCGAGTTCTGCAAACAGAACAGAAGTGGCGGGCCATCGGGCCCGAACGCGCCAAGTTCAAAAGGGTGCGTAACCCACATTGGCCTCTACTTGAAGCTCGACTCAAGAGCTGGCTGAAAAGCACGAATGGTGCTGGCTTGCCAGTTTCGACGGCTCTAACCAGCAGCGCGCGATACTGCTAGCCCCCGAGTGTAACCTGCCTAGCGAGTTTAAAGCTTCTGTTGGATGGGTTCAGAATGAACGCTACAATGCCCTTCAGAGCTCCGAACTGGACAAAACCCTCCTCCTGGTGACTTAACAGTGACTACAGTGCACAGAGCCCTAGTAATAGTAACCTAACAACTAAAAACCCAATTGCATCACAGCAAAGGTTTTACTGTACAGTACAGCAATGACTCCCTTTTGAAATTTAGCTCACATAATTTCAAGCTGTAAAAGAGGAGGAAAGAGGAGCACAGTAATGGGATAACCCTGTCAATCCTCTCTCTTTGTCTAGGGAGGGTACTGGGGAGGCTTTCCCCGGGGAAGGTAGATACAGTGGCAGGAAAAATTGTCCACATGTGTAGCATATTTTTACATTTTGACGAGCTGTACGCTATAAACATTAAGCCTTAATTCATGAGGGCCATACACGTAGGGAGGAGCAGTTAGAGCACTCACTCAAATCTCCTAAAACCAGAGTAGTATATTTCATGGTCCTTCAACATGACAACATTTAATAACAGCACATCCGGACAATTTGTACCGAGGACAGGCAGCAAACTAGTTACTAGCAAAACTAGTACCTAGTCAACCGACACTTGGCCTTGATCACCACCTACACCCTCTTAGGCATGTTATCTACGAGGTTAGTGCAAACCTTTACAGGGATCTTCTCGCACTCTTCCTGGACCCACGCTTTTGCATAAGGGGGTGAGCACTAGGAAAATCAAGAAGTATTTGAACGTATGCAAGTGTACTATGCACGATTTCATGTTGAATGTTATCTCTAAGACTAGCCATGCTGAGGTGTGGCCAAAGATGCCATAAATTGATTGGTCTCGTCTTATCATGGATAGTCTTCATCGTACCGTTGTAGGTAAAAATTACGAGCAGAGTGGCCGAACCCAAGGACAATCTCCAAGATTATCAAAGACGAAGTGCGTTGGAAGGCACTCGGGCCTGAGAGCACTAAGCACAAAAGGCTCAGAAACGCCTTCTGGCCTGTGCAAGAGGACCGTTTCGGAACCTGGCTACGGGGCGTGAACGGCGCTGGCTTGCTAGTCACCATCGCGCTGATCCAGCAGCGCGCTCTCGTCCTTGCACCCGACTACAACGTGCACAAGGATTTCAAAGTCAGTGCTGGATGGGTGCAGAAGGCCCTTAGGTGCATGGGGTTTAAGTGGCGCAAAATGGCTGGCGAGGCGAGATCCGCAGACGCTCAAGCGGCGCTCTTCGCTGAATTGCACTTCCTCAGGTTCTGTGACGCGCTCAACCTCTAGTTCGAGCAACTGTTCAACTTCGACGAAACGTGCGTGTACTGGCCGATGCTCCCAGACCACAAGTTCAACGAGGATGCGATGCCAGGCATGAAAACCACCAAGGAGAGACTCACCGTTGCAAAACTCATGAATGCCGACGGGTCGAAGTGTTCAAACCCCTCATAATCCATCGCTACAAGCGCCCCCGCTGTTCCGCACGCGAGAATTTCAACCTTGCAGGGTACTGCGCGTGGCAGGCAAATGCGAAAGGCTGGATGATCGCCGATGTGAGTCGCGCGTATAAGCCCTTTGTGTTCCGCCAACTTCCGGATATGCAAAACAAACACTTAAAGTGCATCTCCTGCCGCCCAGCTAGAAGCCGTTGTTGACGCTCCTCGCCAAACCCTTGTCCGAGGACGTGCACTTGCTCGACGAGGATTTTCATCAGGTGCAGGGCGCCATGGATACGCTGCCATTCGGCTTGCCTGGCGAAGTCGAGGTCGCGGTCCAATTTGTCTATGCATAACACGAAGCATCGACCGACGAGGAGGGAGCCGACGACCCGCTAGAATTGGAGCCCACGGGGCCGCCTGTCCGATTCGCGTGGTGGTCTAATGCGCCCCTCCCACCCCCACCAACCCCGATGCGTCCATGGGTGACATGCGGGGCATGTCATGCATGGCGACGGAAATGCTCATCGGTTACGCGCGTAGCCTCGCGCTCGCTCCGCGAGACCTTCGCGTTCTCTTCGACATCCGCGATCCCCTCGTGTGCGAGCGTCTGGAGCGCGCATCTCCCTGCCTCGGCGTCAGTGCTACCCCGGCTATTTTGAACGATAGGTATCGCGCTCAGGTGCTGTGCGCCACCGTGGTGATGACCGGGTACCCCGACGTCGATGAATAGATGACCTTTGGGGGTACTCGCATACCATGGCAACCCTCTCTTCATGTTTGAGTGGGACCTGTCTACTTCTCGGTGTTGAACATATAGTACGGACAACAGTGTGTGCTGATGGTGGTTTGCGTACTGATGTTTGGTTGGGTTTAATCAATTAATATTACCGTGTATGGTCTGTTTTTTGTCGAACGAGACTGTAATCGAGAAAAAAAACATTGAGGTGTTTCAATTGTGTTGTTGTTGATGTGATGACCAAAATTATGTGCACCGATGAAACCAGTCTTTGAATCTCCCTGCGAAATCTGGGCGACGTTCCTATGTGCACATGGTCGACGCATCAGACAGGCTTCTCGCCCCTCTACATTACAGAAGCGACAACGCTCCTACAACCTCGGAAGTGTTTTAAACATTTATGCTCGGGTCGCACCGGGGTATTTGCTACGCGCAGTTTCCTACATTCGCAGAGCTTGCACAAGTAGAATATGACCCGTTTATGCTTCAGTGGGGGGGGGGGCAGATTGGGCTGTGAAAGCAAAGCGGAAGTCGTGTGAAATTATTGGGTACAGAGTAGCGAAAAATGATTGGAGAGCACACATGCTCAGTTCTTACACTACCAGCCACTGTAGCGTAAGCGCCCGGATATAGGACTGGTTCGGTTGAGAACCCATTGGGTCCTTTTGGCGGGTGGGTCTTTAGTTGTGGTCGTCGTCTAAGTAGACCCTACCATTTCAAATGTACATGGGTTAAGACCACTCCGTTTTTTTTTTTTTTTTTTTTTTTTTTTTTCGTGCCATTCCGCAGCAATGTGGAAAAATATTGAGTACACCTTGAGCCTGACAGAGGAACACAACTTTTCAGGGTGCCGGTAGACAAAAACATGCAGGGGTTTCGCCACGGCATCGTCACGGGCATGTGGGCCTTTCGCACGGGCACAAAGGTTACCGTTTTGATGTTTTGCGGGGTAGGTTTGAATGGCATATTTTGGCGAGCCATTGTTCACTTAGTTACCCTGTGTTAAATTTCGGTGCTTTCAAGCAAGAGTGAGTTTCTCTGGTGTAGCACCAGAGTGGTGGTTGGCGGGTGAGATGTTGAGTGAGTTTCTCTGGTTTGGTTTGCTCCCTTTCATATTCAGTGAAATGTGGCGATGGTTTGGAGTCGCATTTCAGTTCCAAGTGTTAGGGGCGTGTTTTAAAGATTTATGACATTACGAATTGAAGGTTCGTGTCACAAAAATAACTGTTGCGTGGATTGTGGGAATTTGTTTTCGAGTTTGTTTCTTGGTTGGTTGTCGGATGTTGAGAACGACCCCTGGCATCAGGACATCGCGACTCCATTTCGCTGCCAAGTCAGCGTTCGGTTTCATGCGGCGATGCTCAAGTCACAAACAAACCCAGCAAGGCGTGCGCACCTGTGCGAGCTCAAGGAAAGGCTCGCTGAGCTTCGCCGGAGCGCTATTCTGAGCGGGGCTGGAAGTTTGTGGCGAAAACGGTTGCGGCGCACATCTTTCGTCTTGTGCCGCATGTTCGTCACCGCTGTCATGATGACGCTGCACTGTTGGCTCTGTTCACGGCCCACGTTGAGTGGGCCGTTGCCCGTGTGCCAAAGCTAATGGGCGATGGTTTCTGATTGGGCCACGTATTGAGCTGGGCTTTAGGTGTGCACCCTGTGTAGCGAGCAAAAACAACACACAAAAGCGGGAGCACGGAGAAGTCGAGCGAAAAACTTTCGGGAGGATAGAGAAAAGGAGATGTAAGGGGGTGTGTAAAATTGGGACGGAGCTCCATTTTTATGTCCGTTTGTAACTGTAGGCCAATCGGATGCACGGACCTAGTGTGTAAAAATGTGTGGATTCGTGCCAAAAATAATTCCCACCTTAGCTTCCAGCACGTTGGAAAAAAAAATACCGCTCGTTGTACCCGCACCAGAACAACTCAGCACCAGAATTGCAAACGCATTTCGCCAATTCCAATGACGGTGCCAACTGGGCAACTCGGCCAGCATGAAATGCATGTGCCTCGCAAGTCGCCAGAGCACCAAGGTTGTTTCTCGCGCAGGCAAAAATTGCGAGACATTGCCCTCGCTAGTTACAATCCCGAAATACGAGATTTTGAAATTTCAGGTGCATTGGTTTCGTCCTGGTGGTGTAGTCTCCAAACTTGTGTTGCTTCGGGAAAAAACCGACCGGGCAGAAAAAAGAAGGAGTCTGGGAGCGAAGCGGAGCTTCTGTTCCAAATTTACACACCCCCTATGAGTTATAACTCAGAGTATAGCGCATAATACTATAGGCGAACGTGATTACAGAGTTGTCCAGAATAATGAGGCCTAGGCAATATGTAGGTTTGTTGACCAGGGCCGAATGTCGAGGGTTGGACCAGTCAAGGGCTCGATAGTCCCAGGGGTGACGGGATCAAAATGGGTTCGGGGCGACTCGGGATGAGGTTGGGGCCGAAAAGGTCGACGGGGGCTGGTTTGGCGCGTGACTTGAGGGCCAAGCCTGCGGAACCGAGAGGTTTGCGTGTACTCGCTGTGGCAAGCCCTAGTAAGGAATGGTAATTCCTTACACTAAGGAAATGTTAGAAGGGGAAACCAGAAAGAAATGGGTAAGGGTTGGGGGCGAGGGCTCGATCGCTCTGAATGCCGTCCAATCAGGACGAAGTCAAGTGCGTTCTTACAGTCGTGAACTTGTTATGCTGCCGTGTAAGGGTTGAAGACAAAATCTTGACCGTCGATAAACTATCACTTTCGATTTGGTTTCTCTAGGATTTTCTCGCGATATGAAATGGCCATTTCGATTGGGAAGCACAAAGGTCAAACCAATCAGATTCGCATTTTACATTTTATACTGAAAAGGCTTAGAATGGGCCTGAATACTCGACAATGAGTCAGGAATGTAAACGAGGAACAAAACTATATGCAGAAATTTGTATTCCACGTGCGTACGAGATATAATCTGGGTACATATTTTTTAGGTATCCATATAAGACTCACCCCCAAAATCCACTAGTATATGAGATTACACCCTAGGCTCAAAAATGCGGATGCTTACGGTAATAGAATTATGTACAACACCCAACCATATATTCCCTTGTATGCCTTCATTGTAGTCATTCGATTACTCTGATATGGTATCAGCTAGGTTAGGTCCGCCCATCCGTGCTTCCGCCCTAGCCGCCCTAGCTCGCCCTAGCCGCCCTAGCCCGCCCTAGCCACCCTTGCCCGCCCTAGCCGTTGTAGATCGTTGGCCCCGCGCTCGCTGGCCCGAGTGGTACAGAGCGTCCCACTGGCCCGCGAGGAATTGTCGGAGGCATTTTTCTGCCGCGGGCCAATCAGGACGTCTTGGTAATGGTAGGCAAAGGGTGAGACGCGGGAGAAAAAGTAACAAGATCCAACCCTCCGTGGAGGTTGGATTTTTTACGAAGAAAAGGACGGGTGTCAGCAGGGCGAGCGCGAAAATTTGACGAATTTGGGGAGGTAACCGGCGGGAGAGTGGGGTTGGGGGTGTCGCATAATATCGCGATGTCCCAGCTGGCGATCCCGACGAATCGAGAGGCGTCGCTCGCCAGCTCTTCTGGGGACAGCTGCGAGAATGACTGGGGATGGGTGTCCAGCGGTACACAGGCATTACGCCTGCTGCAGGACCTGCGTCCCCCAGATCTGGGAGTTGGGACAGCAGTTCCGTTTCTGGAGAGCCTGTGAGTCTCCTCGTCTCGCTCCTCACTAGACGCGTCTGTTGTAGATTCCCTCTGCTCCCCAGGTACATAAGTTCTGTCAGCCCGCTCCTCCTCACTAGTAGTTCCTTGCAATCCTATGGCTGCGAGCTGGAAACCGTTCAGCGGACCCCCGTCAGAGGACAGGTCGCTTTGCCTGGCTCGCCCGCGTCCGTGACCCCGTGCTGCTTGCCCAGAGTTTCTCCTGCCCCCTCCTCCCCGAACTCCTCTCGGGGCTGCCCTGTCCGCCGTCTGTCGTTCTTGTCGGGTCGTGGCTGAGCGCGGCGCATCTCTTCCTGATGGACCAGCCACTGGGGCTCGAGCTGGGCCGGCCCCCGCGTGAGCGCTCCGCCGACATGGAGAGCACTGGGGAGAGTGTGCCCCCCCAAGGCCCCAGCCTGGTTGAACCGCGATTGGGAGTGCGGGCTCTCCGTTCCCTCGCCTGCCCGTCAGCAGACCCCCGAGCGGATGCGCGGGCGGTCGGGGAGTCGGCCGTCCACCCCGCGGCGTCGCGAGGAGAAGACTCCCGAGCGCGCCCTGGACCCTGACCGCGGACCAGTGGTGCACGGCGTCCAGAGCGCGGCGGGTCAGCAGCCCCAGCCACAGCCCCCTCCCTGCCGGGGGACACCTCAGCGCCGCCCGCAGGTGCAGCCCCAGCCACAGCCCCCTCCCCGCCGTGGGACACCTCAGCGCCGCCCGCAGGCGCAGCCGGCGCAGCAGCACCGGACACCGCAGGCGCAGCGCGGGCGTTCTGGCCAGCACCAAGGCTGGAGGGCCGGCGGGGGGAGTAACCGCGGATCGGCTGCAGAGAGGCGTTTAGGGCGGGCTGCCACGACACTCGAGAGCCTGTTCTGCTCTGTCGCCCCACCGCAGCAGCCAATGGAGTATCCCCCCCAGCCTCCGGCGTCGCAGCAGTATCACCAGGTGCATCAGCGACAAACGCATCTCCCACCGCAGCAGATGTCAGCGCTGGCGGTCCCGCCGCGCAATGCGGCGCTTCCGCTACTCCCACCGTAACAACAGCCTCCACCGCCTCTTCCGTCCACTCATCCTCCGCCAGACTTCCCCCCTGCCGCTCCTTTCCTTCCGCACCAACCACGAGTGGTGCCGCACCAGATGAACGTGCAGCCCTCGGAGACTCTGCCACGCTGGCAGCTGCCGCCCCTGGAGGCATCCGTGGTGGGTTGGTCCGGCCGTCAGCCGCCAATGGTGGTGCCAGCGTCCTTCGGCGATATGGCGACGGCGCCATTTGTCCCCCCACGTCGCGCGCTGGAGTCGTCAACTGGAGTTGAGGGGGGGCAGAAGCAGCGGAGATGGGGGGGGCTGAGTCCACGGGTGAGGACTCGCCCCCTGGGGACCAGGGGCGGCGTCGATCGGCTGGGCTGCGGATGCCGCAGAGAGCACAGCTGGAGGGCCTGCGTGGGAGGGAGCGCCTGGCGGAGACTGCGATCCTAGTCGCCACGCTTCGTCGGCTCTGGCACGTGCAGCGGGCGATGGGGTATGCTGTGGAGATGCTGACAGACTCGCACTCCGTTTTACGGAGCTCAGCGAGCCCGTGCAAGATGCCTCATGATCCTCTCCACCGCTGCGCGATGGCTGCAGCTGATCTGGCTGTCGTGTCAACGCGAGTGCAGCCTGCGCCCGCCCCGGGAACCGTGTTGGACCCGCGCCTGCTCGCCGTGATGCGGGGAGTATCGGCGAGCGTAGACTTGGCTGCAGCTGTAGACATCGTTGGCGGCGCCGTGTCAGCGCTGATGCTCCTGGTGGACTACGTGAAGGCCCTGCTAGAGGAAGCTGGAGCGGACCAAGTCGCGTGACAGGCTCCCGTCGTGTATAGGTCCTTGTTGGTGAAGTGCGCCCCAGCGTGAGCGCTCTGGTAAGCTCGGTGAGGCTCTCCAGGCTGGCCTGCTGAGTGTAGCGTGGGCGGGATGTAGGCGCCGTATTTGTGTCCTTGCTGTTGTCCTAGTGGATATTATATCCTTGTGCGCTTGCCGTCCCCTCACGCGCGGCCGGAGGCCGCTGACGCGAGCCGCCACCAAGGGTGGGAGAAAATGAAGAGCAGAAAATTAAACAAGGAGAATGAGCTAGGGAGAGGGCTTAAATAGCTAGGGAGGGACTCATGCTCTCTCTCTCTCTCTCGCTCTCTCTCTCCTCTCTCTCTAGCCGCCACCAAGGGTGGGAGAAAATGAAGAGCAGAAAACTAAACAAGGAGAATGAGCTAGGGAGAGGGTTTAAATAGCTAGGGAGGGACTCATGCTCTCTCTCTCTCTCTCTCTCTCTCTCTCGCTCTCTCTCTCTCTCTCTCTCTCTCTCTCTCTCTCTCTCTCTCTCTCTCTCTCTCTCTCTCTCTCTCTCTCTCTCTCTCTCTCTCTCGCTCTCTCTCTCTCTCTCTCTCTCTCTCTCTCTCTCTCTCTCTCTCTCTCTCTCTCTCTCTCTCTCTGCCCTCTCCACTCACCTCATTTTATTTCTCTCTACCTCTCCCTGCCCTCTCCTTCCCCTTCCCGACCTCTCTCCTTCCCCTTCCCGCCCTCTCTCCTTCCCCTTCCCACCCTCTATCCTTCCCCTTCCCACCCTCTCTCCTTCCCCTTCCCGCCCTCTCTCCTTCCCCTTCCCACCCTCTCTCTCCTTCCCCTTCCCGTCCTCTCTCCTTCACCTTCGCCACCTCTCTTTCCTTCCCCTATCCGTCCTCTATCCTTCCCATTCCCGTGGCTGCAACTGCGGCTGCGGCGGCTGCGCTGGCGGCTGCGCGCGCGCGAGCGGGCGGGCAGCAGGCGGGCAGCCGGCGAGCAGCGGGCGGCGGGCAGCAGGCGGCGAGTAGTGTGCGGCGCGCAGCGGGCAGCTAGCAGTGGGTGGCGCGCAGCGGGCGGCAAGCAGCGGGCGGCAAGCAGCGGGCGGCGCGTAGCGGGCGGCAAGCAGCGGACAGTGGGCAGCGCGATCAGCGGGCGGCAGCGGGCAGCACGAGCAGGGGACAGCGGCCAGCGGCAGGGAGCAGTGCGAGCGCGAGCAGTGCGAGCAGCGGGCAGCATGGACAGCGACCCGTGCAAGCAGCAGGAGGGCTGGCTGCGATGGGAAGGGTGGGAGGACGTTACGGCGTGAAATCACATGCTACGGGCGATTTTTTTCGCCAGACGACGCGGCTCCAAGACGACACATCTTAATCGTGGTTTTATAACAGAACAATGTCATTCCATAGCCCCCGGGTGTTGTCCAAAAAGTGCCACTAATTACGCCCCCACTAAATTTTGCATCAAAATTTAGTGCCACCCTAGGGTGTTTTATCCGGGGGAATACGGTAAGCCATGAACCTAATGCAAAAGATTACTAACATAGTATCGTCACGACAGTTTTACACCGCTTTGAAGCAACACCTAGCATGAGCAATCAAACAGTACAAGATCCATGTCATCGCAGCCATGCGCAGCAAACAAGTGCATCAGATCTGAATCTCCAAACCCTATGATGACTTGGCACTCCCTCATGTTGCCGATGCCGCCCGGGACCTTGGTGACGTCATCTGGTACCAAGTACAGGTCATCTAGGCACACACCAGCAGCAGAGGGAGCTTCCAGGTGCTGTCCGATGGCTGCTGTGTAGGTATCCGGCCATGGATCCATGAAGCAGCCATTGATGCTGCTTATGTTACTTACGATGCTCATGCTGCTGCCACTGCTCACCATGCTGTTGTGCCCGTCTATAGGGTCCGTAGGGTGGCTCTGGTCAGTCCAATTAACCCCATTAATCTTGTTAATACGGTTTACCCGGTTAATAGGGCCAATCGTGCGGCTGTTGATAATGACACCATTGTCAGTGCAGAGTCGATTGCACAGTTGAGGGAGACTGCTGCTGGTGCTGCTACAGTAAGTCGAGAGCCTGCTGCTCCTACCATCAGACTGCATCTTGCTGGTGTTGGTGCCGCAAGCACTGCTACTGTCAAACCTGCTTATAGGGGGTACAGAAAACAGGCTGCACTGTTCCGTGTCAAACTCCACTGTATAGCCTCGGCAGCTGATGGTACGGCCGTTGCTGCTTCCCCCACCACCCACCAAGCAGCCAGTTTGCTGCTGCAGTTGCTGTTGTGGCGGCTGGTAGCACTGCTGCAAGTACGCTTTGAACGAAGGCAGTTGGTACTCCTGCACCCCTTGACTCGGTTTCTCCTGAGATTGAGTAGATGCTGACCTCTGCCCATACTCCATCTCTTGTTGGCCGGCCCCTTGTTGGCCGGCCCCATATTGGCCAGCCTCGGCACAACATGCTGACACGGCAACGCAATTTGTTGCAGTGGCTACACATGCCGATGTGGCAGCACCATTGCAAGCTGACGTGGCGATGCCATCACGTGCTGACATGGCAACACCATCAGCTGGCCATAGCAACGTGTTGCTTCGCTGCAAAGTTGGGACCACAGGAGGTTGAACGTCACTCCCCTGAGAGGTAGGAGCAGGGTTAGCAGCGTGAGCGGTTACATCAGGAGAATGAGTTGTAACGCCAGCAGCGCGAGCTGCTACATCAGGAGAAAGAGTTGTAACGCCAGCAGCGCGAGCGGCTACATCAGGAGAATGAGTTGTAATGTCAGCAGAGTGAGCAGTTAAGTCAGGGGAAGGAGTCGTAAGGTCAGCTGTATGAGCGGTTACATCAGGAGAATGAGTTGTAACGTCAGTAGCATGAGCGGTCACGTCAGGTGAATGAGTTGTAACGTCAGTAGCATGAGCGGTTATGTCAGGTGAGTGAGTTGTAAGGTCTGCAGCGTGAGCGGTGACATTGGGAGCAAATCCAGTCATGTGCATTGGTAGTTGCTCGCTGCAAAGAAGAGATGCAGGCACCTGCCGCTGCAAGTGCTGATGATGCTGGTGCTGGTATTGTTGCTGGGGCTGCTCCTGATGCTGCTGATGATGCTGCTGATGCTGCTGCTGCTGATGCTGCTGATGCTGCTGCTGCTGATGCTGCTGATGCTGATGCTGCTGATGCTGCCGATGCTGATGCTGCTGATGCTGCTGATGCTGCTGCTGCTGATGCTGCTGATGCTGCTGATGCTGCTGCTGCTGATGCTGCTGATGCTGCTTCTGCTGATGCTGCTGATGCTGCTGACACTGCTGATACTGCTGATCCTGATGCTGCTGCTGCTGCTGCTGCTGCTGCTGCTGCTGCTGCTGCTGCTGCTGCTGCTGCTGCTGCTGCTGCTGCTGCTGCTGCTGCTGCTGATGCTGCTGTTGCTGCTGCTGCTGCTGCTGCTGCTGCTGCTGCTGCTGCTGCTGCTGTTGGTACTGCTGCTGCTGCTGTTGCAGTGGATGTGGTTCCAGCACGCCCAGCCTTGGGCTGTCAGCACAGGCGTTTCCTTTTGCTGTTGCTGGTGCTGCCACTGCCGATGCTGCTGCCGCCACTGGCAACTGGCTTATGACAACGCACCTGCTGTTGATGTTGCTGTTGCTGTTGGTGATGTCAGAAGAATGTGCGAAGGACGGAGCAAGAGGAGGGAGAGGAGGGGGGTGAGTAGTGGAGAGAGGAGGGAGAGGAGAAAGGCGATGGAGCAGGGGGGAGGAGGCTTGGCTGCTGTACGGGGGGCTTGTCGCGGCAGGAGCATAGGTGGCGTGGTCAGCTGCTGCGGCAGGAGCAGAAGCCAGCGCGGCAGGAGCAGAATCCAGCGAAGCAGGAGAATCACAGGAGGGTGCGGCGGGATACCCGTGCGTTGGCTCCACGGGGATGGACCCCAACGGAGAGTGGGAAGTCTGGAAGCACGCCGCTTGGGGTGCGTCAACAGCCAGAGGGGCGGAAGCGGGGGCAGGCAAAGGAGCAAAGGAAAGGGGAAGAGGCGGCAGGAAGGCAGGAGAAGTTGGGGTGGAAAGGCTGTTCGTTGCGGGAGCGCAGGTTGCAGCGGGAGCACAGGTTGTAGCGGGAGTGCAGGTTGTAGCAGAGATGGAGGCTGTAGCGGCAGAGGGGCAAGTTAATGTGGGAAGGAGGCTGATGGCAGAAGGACCAGAGAGAAGAGCTTTAGAAGCTTCCAACACGGGCGGTGGGTGGTTGTGCGAGCCAAAATATGCCACTCGCACCACCACACGCATCTCTGTCCTGTCCGACGCCGTGTCGACTTCTTCTGCACGTCCTGCTACAGCCACTCCGGTTGTAGCTGCAGCTTCGGAAGCAGCTGCAGCTGTAGCTCTGGCTCTGGTTGTAGCTGCATCTGTTGCGGCAGTTGTGGTTTTCCCCACGGCTGCATTTTTTCCAACGCTGCCTGTCAGCTTGAGCCGGCGCGGGTGACGGGCCTCGCCAGCCACTCGATCCTCAATCTTTCTTGCCGGGCAACCCATGACGTGCTTAGACGCACAGACGAAGTAGAGCCTGCGGGGAGGAGGGGAGAAAGAGGGCGCACGCGTACACAGAGGTTGGGGAGACCCTTCAGAAGCCTGGCACGCTGGATGGGAAGGGAGCAAGCGAGGCGCATCAGTTTTCTTCAGCCGACCCAAGCCGACCCAAACTGACCCAAACCGACCTAGCTGAGCCGATCAGACCAGAGCCGACCAGACAAGTGTCGACCGGAACAGAGCTGACCTGACCAGAGCCGACCAGACCAGAGCCGACCAAAGGTGATGGCAGGAGAGACGTTGCGATAACGGCATGGCCGAGGATCTTCTCACCTCTTCACAGGCTGACCCGCTATTCGTTTGTGCGACGTCTTCTTCCATTTGTACCCCTTGTTTCGGCCATTGCGCTGCTCGCAGTACGATGTTTGTTGCTGCTGCGGCTGCTCGTGCTGCTGCTGCTGCTGCTGCTGCGGCTGCGGCTGCTGCTGCTGCTGGTGCTGCGGCTGCTGGTGCTGGTGCTGCGGCTGCGGCTGCTGGTGCCGGTGCTGCGGCTGCGGCTGCTGGTGCTGGTGCTGCGGCTGCGGCAGCTGGAACAGCTGCCGCTGCGGCTCCAACTGCTTTGTGCAGCAGAGCGGCAGGCTGGTCCAAGTCAGAGGCTGGTAGTGATGCTCGCACTGCGACCCACTGTCACATTGCTGCTCCTGCTGTTGATCTTCCTGCAATGCGGCACATTTCTCCTGCTGCCGCTGCTGCTGCTGCTCTTGCTGCAATGCGGCGGCACATTGCTCCTGCTGCTCCTGCTGGTGCTGCTGCTGCTGCTGCTGCTTCTGCTGATGCGACTGCTGCTGCGACTGCTGCAATGCGGCCGCACATTGCTCATCCCAACACCTCCCATCGAAGTTTGACGTCTCAGGCTCAAATTTTACCATCCAACCTGCAGCAGCAGCGACAGCAGTAGGCACCGGCGGTGGCGGTGGCGCCGCCATCGGCGGCAGTGGCGGCGCAAGACGCGGTGGCGTGCGGAGCATCATCTCCTCGCGCGGCGATTCACCTCATCAAGGGAAAGCTCAGAGCTCCATTCGGGCAGGAAATCCGCGTCAGAGCCGAAGGCCTCGTAGCAGTACCGCCGCGACGCCGCGGCAGGCAGCGGCACGGGCTGTTCGTCGGCGCGCAGTGACCGCGGCAAGACCACGTGTAACACCTCGCTACCCACTGGGTCAAAACAAGGTTACCCAGAGGCGCAGCGGAATGCGTTTCTACACTCTAGGGTGATTCCGTCCGCAGACGTTAACTCGTCCCCCCCTGGTGCCAACGTCCTCGTTGGGTTCAGGGAGTCGGCCCCCACAAGGACCTCGAGATTCGCTGGTAGACCAAGTCAGCGACTTCGCTGGTGATGCACAGCGGTTACCAGGATCGTTCGCTGGGTTCGCGACTGGATACAACCGCAGCTGTATTTTCGCACATTCGAGTTCTCGCCACGACCTCAGCCGTGCGCGGAAAATGTGTCCAGCCGGGGTTCGAACCCTAAGCTCTGGTACCAGTGTAATACCTCGCTACCCACTGGGTCAAAACGAGGTTACCCAGAGGCGCAGCGGAATGCGTTTCTACACTCTAGGGTGACTCCGTCCGCAGACGTTACACCACGCGACCAGCGTGCTTGTAGTCCGCGTGTCAGGCTGACTCGTCGACGCCCGAGCTGGCACCGCGCACAAATGCCGCACACCGCCGTCAAAGCCGTCAATGCAGTCAATGCCGTCAATGCCGGTGGCCCGGCCACGGGCCGTCACGGTGAATGCGATAGTTTGAACGAGGTAATGCGGTACTACAATGCGATGCGGTAATGCACTGCACTGCCACAGCAAGATCGGAATATATAGTGGATCCGAATTCGAAACAGGGACGTTCTAGGGTACAATTCCCGACGGTGGCTGAACTAGGTCAAGATCAAGAGTGAACGGCAGTGCGATTGTCGCCGCGAAGGCCTTTCATTCGCAGCCGCCGCAATCCCAAATTTTCAGGAACAGTCGCGATAGAACTCGGTGCAGCGTTGCGTGCTCCAATCCCAGCCGCGAGACGTGAGCTTCTCGGTTAGTGTATACATGGTGCGCACCGGAGGCCCAGCCCAATACGTGGCCCAATCAGAAAGCATCGCCCATTAGCGTTGTCACACGGGCAACGGCCCACTCAACGTGGGCCGTGAACAGAGCCAACAGTGCATTGTTATCATAACAGCGGTGACAAACATGCGGCACAAGACAAAAGATGTGCGCCTCAACCATTTTCGCCACAAAATTCCAGCCGCGCTCGGAATAGTGCTCCGACGAAGCGCAGCGAGCCTTTCGTTGAGCTCGCAAAAGTACACACGCCTCGCTGGGTTTGTTTGTGGCTTGAGCGTCGCCGCATGAAAACGAACGCTGACTTGGCAACGAAATGGAGTCGCGATGTCCTGATGCCAGGGTTCGTTCTCAACATCCGACAGCCAACCCAGGAACAGACTCGAAATCAAATTCCCACAATCCACTCAGCAGTTATTGTTGCGACACGAATGTTCAATTCGTAATGTAAGAAATGTTTAGAACACGCCCGTAACATTTGGAACTGAAATGCGACTCCAAACCCTCGCCCCATTTTACTGAGTATAAAAGGGAGCAAACCAAACCAGAAAAACTCACTCAACATCTCACCCGCCAACCACCACTCTGGTGCTACACCAGAGAAACTCACTCTCGCCTGAAAGCGTAGAAACTTAACACAGGGTAACTAAGTGAACAGTGGCTCGCCAAAATATGCCACTCAAACCTACCCCGCAAAACATCAAAATGGTAACCTTCATGCCCGTGTGAAAGGCCTACATGCCCGTGACGATGCCGTGCGAAACCCGTGCGCGTTTTTGTCTACCGGCACCCTGAAAAGTTGTGTTCCTCTGTCAGGCTCAAGGTGTACACACCGCCAGGCTGTCTCCCACTTCCCGCTGTCCCCAGCCCAGATCTGAGGCAAAGCGAGCCCCACTTTGCCCTCTATCCCGACCGGACCTGAAGGGAGAGAGGGACCACCCCCAACCCACCCTCTCCCTCCCTCCCCCCCCCCACCCCCGCCCTTTCTTCCGACCAACACAGCGCACCCTCCAGTACACGACGCGCCCCTCACGTCATTGGCAACAAAACAAAGAGTTTTCAACTTGCCCACATGCACCGCTCGGTATTCCAAAAAAGTGGAGAATTCACTGCCTTGCTTGCAAGATCACCCCGTGAATGTCACTGCAAACCTGTCACTTGTGAAGCACATGTCCCCTCCCGCCCGAGCCCATCGAAACGGGTTTGGGGTTGAGTTGACCATTGGATGCAACGGGTCACCCTGCTGTCCGATCAGCGAGCATGCCAAAACGAAAAAAAAAAAAAAAAAAAAAACAAAAACAAAAAAACGAATCGTCCCACCCCATGTGTACTACCACCCCTGCCCGTCCCGCACCCCCACCCCCCCCCCCCCACCCCCCTCCTTCCCACCATCACCCACCCCCCCCCCTCCCCCACCCCTCCCCCTCTCCCCCATCCCCCTTTCACCTGTCTTAAAACCCGCATCTCATATTTCCTACCAACCAAAGGTATTACCTTTAGTGGGAGAGGGTCTGATTGGGGGACGACGGGCGAAATTTTGAAAGAGAGTGGGCGAGGGTTGCGACAATTTTGGAAATCCTGGAAGGTCCAACTTTGATGAGGCTTCCAGTCTCATATTTCTGCGGGCCCGTAATACCTAGTGGTTTGAGCCCACGAAACGTTGAGGGCTAGATGGTGGGGTTGGGTTCTCAAAGACTCCCAAGCAGTTGCAATTCCAGTGTTGAGTTTGCGCCAAAATTTGCTGCTTTGAGTCACTTTCGGGTCCTGATTTCGTGTACCCAGCCCATGTTCAGAAACACTGGCGAGCCCTTGCACAAAGAGCAGCTACGTTACCCAGTACCAAGCGTATCCCCTCAGGAAATATGAGACGCGGGCTTTAATTTCACGGTGTAGCTCACCTTCA